GATTGATATTCTTCCTCTGTGTCGTGGAGAGACCGACAAATTCTCCGCCTCGAGCGAATAATCACACGTCCCGGGACCGTGGATGGTCCAATAAATTTCCCTGGCTGCCTTACTTTAACTCCAACATCCCACTCAACGTATACGTTGCCGGAAATCGCGAATGAATGATGCACCGGCCGCACTTTCATTCGTATCCTTCGCGAGATCTATAATTTTCTCGATAGAATGGAACGTGTTGCGCTTTAGCCGGTCTCGTATTCGTGGCTAACGTACAATCCGACGTGATATTTCGAGCTACGTGAAAGATTTTGTGTCATCGAGCCAACGATTCTTCGATGAAACGTGCTTTCTGACGGGAAAATCGAGAAGGATATTCGTCTATGATGCTACGTGAATTTTAAGAAGGTACTCTCGTAAATCGGTTTGCGAAAATCTGAATTTTTCTTATACATTTTTTATAGCTCGAAACGTGAAGAATATATTCCTAGAAGGAAATTTTAAGATCCGGAAAGTAACTCAAATTGCAACCCTCCGAATGGAACTGTGTAAAAGTAGAAGGAGCAGGTAAACCAACAAGTAATTGTGTTACCTGTTTGCCTTTCGTTAATGATCAAACAAATGGAGAAGGAAATGTAAATAAAGTTCCACAAAAACTCTGGAACAGCTAATTAACTGTAACTTACAAGAGAAGAAAAGTAGAATTAAATTTCTTTTCAATTTTGGAGCATCCAAAGTTCACTCGATAGAAAAGTATACATTTTAGAAAAATTAGAATTCGAAGAATTAGGCAACTTTCACGTGAAGGTAAACACAACGCATCGAGGATTCAACGAGGGAAATTGCAATGCTCGAGAACAATGGCCTTTCAAAGCCATCGCGACGTATCGAATGGCGGTTTATTTTCGTGTCAGCGTAATAATCATGATCGATGGAACAATGATATTATGATCGATGACAATTTACCGTATATTCAATACTCTTATCCATCCGGCTAAGCATTATTCCATTATGTGCAATATCGAAAGCAATTTACGCCGATGCACCCAGACACAATCTGCATTCCGTGCAAAACGTGCGAGCAATTTAATTGACTGTTTTATCGACGATTGGCGATAAAAATTTCCCTCTTTGACCCAAATATTTTATTACAGGAAAAAGGTCAAACTCCTAAGAAACGAAGATATTTATCGAACACCCAAGCGTCGCTCCAGTTTCGTACCGTCAATTTCGTATCTGTTAATCTTCATTTTAAACCGTTCCGTGAAAATCCCAAAAGCGAGAAAACGTCGAGGGGAACTATCCCCGTTTCGGCGTGAAACTTTCATGCAATATCGGCCCGATGCGGCCAGTCATAGGGCATAAAACGGCAAGGCAAAGTGTCGCTCGAGCGACGTTCATGAATTTCATTCTCGATACAGCTCCGAAGTATCCGCTCGATCGACGTCGTATCGATCTTTTTATAACGGATACACATCGTCACAGGTGACGGTGTTCGGAGTTACGTCGCAGGAATACCGAGGTAAGGATATTTTGGTCGACGTGACACACCGAGATCCAAACGGGCGGACACTGTCGCTAACTTTGAGAGACAGCCTGTCTTTGCGTTGGCAAAGTTCAAACGAACGGGTTTCCGTTCTCGGCGAACAAACGGAAAGCAGGGCGAAAACGAGTTCGATTCGTTGCAAAGACGACTGTAATTAACGGGTGGATTGACAAAATTTGATTATCATTCTCGCGATGCCTGCTATCGAAATAGAAATCCTAAGATTTGTTATTCCTATTACCTCGTCATTTCAAATATCTAACACTAATATTTCTAAATCAATTACTCATTTTACTCATTTTACTCCGAAAATTATGACTGGAACACCCATGAAAAACCTCCAATTAACACGATAGTAGAATAGATCATTTTTAGTGATTGATGAATGTACAGATGATGAGTATTCATACTTTTGTCCTTTTGAAAACGGGAGCATTCGAGCTTCCATCATTAACGATTACAATTACATTGAATGGTGTGAATGAATTTAACGAGATTAATGTCGGCTTCTGTTACAACCAGTGACGAGATTAATGACGATTCGCATTCTCAAGCCAGACTAAGATCAAGATAACGGTCCTTTAAACCGTTCTGTCTAGGTCTCAGCGACGATTACCTGAGCTGTTCGAGGGCGTTTGAATTTCAATAACAGATGCACGAGCCAAGATAAACCGGCGGAACGATCGGTACGATGGGATTTAATCGCGTGCAAACGTCGCGACCGTCTATAGTATTCTTTTTCCAGGATCGTTGAATATTTCATCGAGAAGAAGCATCGAAACGCTTTGATCCTCAACCTCGCCATCGAGCATGCAAAAAAACAGCGATATATCATCGCAGTTTTTCGAAAACAAGTCAATATATGTACACTGTTGAATAAAATTATAAAACAAAGATACTTAAATTCATTTTTTATAATTTACTTATGAAAAAGATTCATAAATCTTTCTGTAAGGGATTAATTTCAATAACTTATGATTCTTTTTTCCTATTCCAAAATTACGAAGGTGTAAAAATGTTTTAACACATTTGTTTTATAATTTTCTTCGCCAGTGTACTCAGACATTATACAACACGTTGCGGAGAACCGGTCAAATCGATTTATTTCTGGTTTTACACTCGATTAACATTAACATCGTACCGCTGAGCCGCTGTTTTTCCATGAATCCTAGCCAAGAGAAACGCAGAGTAAGAAACCTTTACCGTAAATGGAAACATTTTCTCATTATCCATCGACTTTCTGACTCGAATCACTCATGGAACACGGTATAAGGATACATATTTTAACGGTGACCTATAGAAACGACTACTGCTTCTGGTTTTATAGAGTACCTATGAATCGCTAGGAATCGTTGACCTATCATAGATCGATTTCTAATATAAGCAAGGAAATGAATTTTCTCGAGATGACTGTGTCAGAAACACGGCTCCCGATGGAATTAATTTAAAATTGAATTAGAAGTAAATTAGAAAAAATTGCATTTGAAATCATTTCTAATTTTCTCAAGAAACCGAAGAATTATAGAAAAGCTTAGTTAACACGTTGAACGCTATGGGGGTCACCGGTGACCGACATTGCAAATTACACATGCCTAAATTAAAAGAACATTATTTTAAGTAAAATAGTAAATAGAGAGCTTAAAATTTGAAAATTAAGTATTTCTATTCTTAATAATTAGAGCTGCAATACATATTATAATAAATGATCATTTTCACAGTGGCGTTCAACGTGTTAATGAATTACTGATAAAATTTCTTCTGAAAAAGTACCATACGAATGCGACTCGTTATCGAGCAGCGAATCTATTAATAGGAAAAAAGAATAACAGAATAAACATATGGAGTTCAGTGTACCGATCAAGGTATTCCACAATCGTCTCACAATCGTGTGAAAATATGATGGACGTACACGCATATGTAACACGTTGCGTCTACCGTTACATCATTCGCGGTATGTGTTCTCAACAGCATGCAGTGCTACCAACCGTGGAGCGAAGGTTACGAAGCTGTTAGCGTGACAATGACCTTTCCACGGCTTTCCACGTTCAATATTTACCGTTCACATATGTTTACGTTTTCACGGAAGATTTGTAGGAACGACAAGGCAAACATTCACACGTAGATAACGCGTGTAAGATACAACATCGTGGAAAACATTGAAACAACAATTTCTAAATGATAACAGTACATCTAACCCGTTCGATCATTAATTAAAAACATTTATACGCATAAATTGTGATAAGAGAATTAAATAGATGTTCTTATTTTTATTTATAAATACTGATACCACTTGGGTATAATTTAACTGGGGGGTGATCCGCTTATGCAATTAAATTGCAAATGTGACCGCTGTGTTATTTCAGCGGAGCGAATTAATCTTTGCAATTACGATATCGCTGTACATATGTATAACTTAAAAAATAATCAATCTGAAAACATTTCTCTAATTAAACAGGGATATAAATATTTCTTGGAAATGAAAAATATCTCTATCGAGATAGTAAATCAGTGTTTTGTGGGTAAGAGAAATGTTCTCGAAGTAAGAAAAATAATAGAAATAAATAATTGATACGTAAAGTACGTATCAATGGTATTCTCGTACCTTCGAAACCCTCGCCGGATACATTCGGTTAATATAACGTTAACGGAATATGCCCAGGGAACGATTTCAGCACGAAAACGTCGCTCCAAAGAAAGGAATTGATGAGTATCATAGAAACCGTCGGTCGAAGACTCCTAAGTCCAAGAACGCGTTGGAGCAACAGTGCTGCTATTATCTTTGCCCTCGGTGTTTCTCCCAATAATCTCATGGGTCACGGGTATTGAAACGGAACTGCCCTTCGTGATAATCGTAGACGGTGAGCATCGCGACAACGCCTCGTCTCGCGTTGATAACGCGATGGAAATTATCGACCCCGGTTCACCGACGGGGGTTTGTTTTGAACGTGCATCCTCGCGCACAGCCGTCGCCAATAACGACGATAGAACGAAACGGGCTGGCTGGCAGGCCTTCTGCTGCTCCACGACGGTGGCGACGGCGTCGTCAACGACACCGAATCGTATAATACAAACCGGAGCACACGTACGAGATAACAGGTTGCTGCCGAAACACGAGACACGTATCAGGCTAACGTGCGTTTCGCATTATAACACGACACGACCACGACACGAGACAATCTCCTTCGAGAGCGCGCGCATCGCCCATTGTTTCGACGCGGCGGTGGCGGTGATATGGGTAAAAGCGACCGGATAAATGGCGACTTTCCCCCCTCCGCTGCTCGCGACCGCCTCACGAGTTGTAAATCTCACGCGACACGCCGAAACGCACGCGTTCACTGTCTACTTGTATCACGAATCGTTCGTCTGATAAAAAAAATATCATCCGACAAACACCGAACGACAACCTTATCCGGGAGAAAATTTACATCGACCGTACGAAATGTATAAAAGTACTCACCCTGTGACCGGATTCCTCGAGTCGCTGCCTCTTGGAGTGTGGTCCGTCTCCGTTGAATGCCATCCTGGGCCTCGGCACCGGGCAATTACTTTTCAAGCAGAAGACACTCGGTGCAACAACGACACGTCCGTGTGTATACCGCGCGGCTCTCTACCGTGTCGACGATCTCGTGCGCGGACGGGGGAGGGGGGAGGAAGGAGAAAATAATCGGTAGGACACGACGCGAACGCGACGAGAACAGACAAACGCGCGAGAGCGGCTTAAGGGAAACTGGATCTCGACGTTGCTGGAGAGGAACGTCTCTGCCCCAAACGAACTAGCCGGCTACTGCAGCGCTATCTACCGACGCTGTTCTTCAAGTAGAAACTGATCCTTAAGGCGGAATTGCGCGCATGCGCGTCAGCGCTATGACGTATACTCGTATTGGCCGACGCGTTGCTCGTCTAACGCGAGTATTTTCTTAAATAACGCGTCGAATTAAACGGTGCGAGACGCGTTCAAATATATCACTGCCGTGTTTGAAAGTGCAAAGACAATTAAGGTAGATTGTTCGAATCAACGACTGTAATTAAACGGTATTGTCCAATCAAGGAGGCACATTGTAATCTGGAGAGATTTTGATTCATGGACGCGGGAAGTCCAACTGCGAGGATACATTGTACAGAGTTCAAGAGTGAAGATTAAGGTAAGTGGGATTATTTATCGATAAGTGATCGAGGAACAATAAACCGCTCGGTTATTTTTTCCTTGACATTAACACTAAATTTCGTGGTGACAGCCGGCTGTCGAACACTGGTTTTAGTGTTGGCGTCAAACTTTTCTCGGATAAGAATAAAAATCTGTCGTACAATACAATGGTTTCGACCAATGGCGCCAACATCATTCTAAGCGATCCAAATATTATAACTTGTTGCCACTGATTCAGATAGCCATTGATTTCTGCATTATTTATGTCAGAATCTTGTATCTGTAAATTATTGTCAAAATGTGCTGTTGCTGCAGTACAATATCTAGAATAAATAGGAAAATATTTTTACAGTTATTGTCATTAAATATTTATATCTCAATTATGAAGTATCGACTACTTAACTGTTTAAATGACATCCCTTTTGTTACTTTAACATTTCTCAATTGACTATGCCTTAATTTTTCACATTTTTTTATTAAAATAGTCTCTAAAGCTGCTCTATAAGTATGCACCTGAAACAAGTTATTTGTTCGGTCATGTACATTCAAATACACATATATTATTATTGCACTCAACTATTAAATCTTCATAGCATCCAGTCTTTAATTTGTCACAGTATTTTTCAATAGCATGGCATGCTACTTCTAATGATGTATAAGTTAGCAAATGATTTTTACGCAACATCAGGTACTTGCTAAGTGGATACCCCTTTAATCCACTTATTTCTGAACTAAAAATAAGTCATGTTACACGATTTAGAAAACTAACAGGGATAAATTTTATGAAAGATATACAAACTGTATTGTTAATTTCATGTAACAACATCCTACAATACAAATAAATTTTGCTTCGTCTGTGGATGAGTAAAGTTTTAACAATATTGGAGCTAAATCTCCACAAGGATGAAGTCCTACAAGACCAAATTTAATTTCTGCTTCGTTTAAAATGAATTTATTTTGAAATAATTCTTGTAATTGACTAACTAATTTTGATTCAACTAAATTTGCTGGTTCCAACTTTGCTATAAATTGCTGTGGACATTTTTCACTAAAATTAGGTAAATGCTTTCTTATAGACACCAGTAATTCTTCATCCCATTTCCTGTAACAAATATAAATCTTCAAGATTAACAGTAAATTTCATGCATCATTAGAACTTTACCTAGCTTGTTGCAACAATATACAATCTTGTTCAATACAAGTAACATATAACCCATATCGAAAAGCTAAGATACGAGCCAAATGACCCATTCCAGCTCCAATATCAACGATACATTTACAATTAGCTTCATAGGCACAATCTGCACACACCTAAAATATTTATAATACATAAGAATAATAAATATGTACTGAACTAGAAATTAGTACAATTACTTCAGCTATCTCTTGTATCTCATATCTCTTTTTCTTTTTTATGTGTTTTGAGAACAAGTTTCTAAATTTATGATCCTGGGAATGTAACTCCTCAAATGCTTCATTCTTATCCTTTCTAAATGTTTCATTATTGTTATTATTATTTGGTATATTGGGTTCACAAGATATAATACTTTCTGGGTCCTCATGGTTTCTGTTCACCTGTAGAATATTAGTCACTTGACGAAGTGCAAGTAATGACAAAGGCCACACTCGTTTGCTGTAACATAATTGAACAAATATTGTACACCAAAGTGCAAACCATAAGTTCAAACTTTAGTATCTATACCCACCACAAGATGTCTCCTGCCAGCCATTTACCAAACTCTTGAGGAGGTGTATCTTGCAAAGTAAACCTCCAACTTCCTGGCAATTTCTCCCATAAGTTTTCTTGAAAAAAGTCCTGTAAAACAAATATAAAACCTGTACAATCGCTGGAAGTCACTATTCGTGAGAAATAACAAAGGACCCAAGCTATGGTGATCAGAGTTCATGCATCAGTAGGTGTAGGGTAAAAATCCGACCAAAATATGTCTGATACAAAATATGTTTTCGAGATCTGATTTCTGTAGTACGTACCACGATGTAAGAGTTCAATAGCCAACCGTGTACGTCTAAAACGGAAAATATTTGGTCGATCGTGACACGAATTTTTATACAGACTCTACATGTGCACCAAATGTCGCTAGCTGCGGCCATGGTTGCTGTAAAATGGCCGCGAGAATTCGATTGAATCAGTCCACGTGCTTTTAATTACATATCAAAGTTGTATACTTTTAGGTAGACACCTTACACGAAAGATATTAAAAATGAAAAATATCTAGCTATAAATATTTCATCTTCAGTCACCAATTTTTCTTAGATACTTAGATAGAAATTAGAACTCAAGAACCACACGAGTTAGAACTTAAAAACCATCATCATCGTCCGGTTTTTTAATTACGATACATTTTACCGTTTGAAAATCTACTCTCTGTGATAGAAATAGAAAGTGCAGCGGGCATTACGTCGGATAAGGATACTTTTTGTTTAACGCCTGGTATACTATTTAATTATATAAGATCGTTATAAGCATATGCATAGAGGCGAATGATACTGTAAGTATAATGCAGTTTTCCGCAAGGAAAGTGACCACTCAGAACAAAATGCTAACCTGCCGGACGACAAAAACTAAACTACCTAATCGATTCGAACTTTTCATATTGTAAAGGTTTGCGTGTACCGTTCGAGGAAGCTAACGAAAGTGATCGTTCAATAATCTATTTTCCCACGTAACAGATGAAAATTCAATGGGATCTTAATCAAGGTCTTATGGAATTATGATCATCTTCCGATGGTTTCGACACAGAATACAGAGGAAATTGGGATTGTTTGTTTTGCTTTATTTATTAATTAGAAGATCCCTGAGTATTCTCGCCGTGTCCCACTTTACGCCACTTTCACTCTTCAGCAGTTACGTTATTGCTCATGAGCGCACCGCTCTTCGAGGACTATGTACCTACAATGAACGTATACGAGCGAAAAAGGAGAATCGTATCATCTGCCACTCTATATCTCGGACTTTCATGAGAACATGACGGCTGAGATTCCTGCAATAACGTTTCACAAGGCTGCTGTTGCAATTATTTCCAAAGCCTGTAATAACCTGTCTTATTTATCCATCCACAGTCATTTTTAAAACACACGTCGTCTTTGAACTGATTACAGTTCGTCAAGTTTATTAAGTGAATCTTGATATCATCTCACTGTCCTCGGGACTGAAAAGTCATGAAATTCTCGCTCGTTTTATTCATTCAATTCACTCGCATCTTTTAACGAAGATGACTGAAACTAATTGACCAGTCGATTCTTTGTTCATCCTGTTCGAATCTCTCGATGGTTACTTGGACCTCTTACGCCAACGTAAGTGAAAGTTTCCAAGTAGGACGAGCGAGACGTCGAATCTCGACTCCACTTGGATATTTGTTAAATGCTCATCTCTGTTGGTCACTATGGACCACTGTTCGTCCATCGAAATTGCTAAATGTCAATGCGCGGTTTCAAAATCGATCGGCGAACTTTCAAGAGCGAAGTGAAAACGACTTCTGAAGTTGAAAAGTGAATCCGAGGGGGATCACTGGGAATCACTTAGAACCGACTTGTCTCCGATCCGCGATAGATCAATGTAGAATACATGTTACGCAAGTATGAGAACTTTGCATCATCCGAACTTTTGCAACGAAGGGTTTTACCAGGTCATCCTCGCTAAACTGGTAGTCTAGGCTTCCTTTCACAGTAGCCTGAACGCGATTTACGGAAAATAGTGCACGCGATCTTTTCACGCGGGACGAACTTGCTTGGAGAACCTCGGGATATTTTTATTGCGGAATAATGCCCGTTCGTAATGTAATTATGTAAATCCCTATCGATGTTCGATGTAGTTAACTATTCATACCCATTCTGATAAATTGAAAGATACGGCAAGGTGCAATCGGCTAAATTAAAATATAGTTAGAATGATAGCGAAGTACAATTAGCTGAACGGAAAGTTGAAACTGATAACAATTCTCGGTGTATAATTGTGCCGAGTCGATAAATGGAAAAAGTTCCTTTTTATTATCACAGTTGTACAATTTTTCTAGAGATTAAAACCTGATGGAAACTTGAAAAAATAGGTAGAAACAATTAATTATTTACTCCATTAAATTAAAAAATTGTTAAAGGGAACAATTCCTTGTCCATATATTTTAATTATTATTACTTATTACCTAATCAATCATCAAACCACGTCGTACATGAGATTAATACTTGTCAAGATAAAGAATTTTTATCACTACTTTCTTGACCAATATAAATTCAAGAAAATTAATCGACAAAACTTGCTCATCGTCCTGAAAGAGAGGTCGTTATACACACGCAGGAAATGATTCGTTCGTAAGAAATCGTTCGCTTGGAACCGCTTTAAGGCTTTAGCGAAAGTAATGATAACTGCTTGATCACGCGACCGCGTACGCTCACGGATACAAAAAGTCACACAGGTACGGAGAAACGTGTTGTTAGGGTTCGAGGCGGTAGTCTTTCACCGAATAATTCGGTGTGTACCATGCCGGACGCGGACACGGCCTTCTCCTAGAGGAAAGGCAGGTTTCGGTTTCGATAGGCCTTGGGGGTCAACGGAGAACCGATCCTCCTCTGATACAATCGTCTTCCTTTCTTTTCGATAGGTGGACGGACGGATTTAAAGAAAGTCGACAACCACTCTGCCCGTTTCCCCTTCTCACGGCTATCTCTTAGTTGCTTGAATCTTTTCTTTTTTTTCTTTTCCGTATTTTTTATTCTCATCTCGGATCACGTCTGTATGTCCTGCACGCTATTGCTTTAACGCTGTCTTACGCTAGCCGCGAAGTGTACGTACGTAGCCAGCAGTCAGAGAAAGGTGCCCCACCGTATTCGATATTAGAGAGGAGCTTCTTGAAGAGTCCAGTGGTGGTGGCATCAGGTAGGGAGAAACGGGCCTCTGGGCCCAATCTGTCCTCAGTTCCCATACGAAGCTCCATTCAATATCGTTCAGTACATGCCCGGTCCTTAGGATAACATGTTGCCTATCGCGAGTTAGCCGCTCTTTCATTAAGTTGACACGTGAAATCGGTGAAGTGTGACTTGACGTACGTTCGAGGGCTCCGTCGACTGATCAATTTCGGGCACGCGCCTACCATGCGGTTCTTCGAGCTGGTAATTAATTAAAAATCGTTCGTTGTCTTTCGAGAGTATTCGCAGAAATTCACGGAGAAACTCTCGGTAGCGGCGCGTTAATAGGATAAACGGTTCGTTTGTAGGAATGTGTCCGCTTGTACTTTCATCGTAATAAGCATGTCTCGTAGTCGCGGGAAACGTTCGACGCGGTTCTATCATTTGTAATCAGTCAGCGTATCGCCTTTGGCTACTTTGCTAGGGAAAGTATATCAGATTAACGAAGCGTTTATATGTATTTAGCTAATCATTCGCGATTTACTGTTGTTTGTATTATCAGAGGAATTGTGATGATTCGTTTGTTCTTAATTAGTATGAGAATCGTGTAAATACCTGGATTCGAATCGGCTTTTCTTTTCTTTTTTTGTACGAGGAATATTAAGAAGTCTCCGCTTTAGGAGAGTCACCGAATTCTCGAGGTGAAACGCGCACGTTGTGAATCTAAAACCTAAATTTTCTCTCCTTCTTTCTCCGTAACCATGTGAAGCAAGCGACAAGAATTTCTGTTCTATTCGCTCAATTTAAACTCGAGAAACATCCTATATCCGATACGTGCTGTAACTCGGCCTCGCCATATCGGGAACACGATCGCGGCTGGGAATCGCTTATCAGGGTAGCAGTAACTGTCCATTCGGCGACGCTAGAATACCAATCGATCGGCCTCTTAAGGTCTTACAGGATGTTTCTTCTCGTTTATTAATCGGGTCACTCGGTTAGCCACGCGCAACCGATGTTTCCACAAACGCGTTTCGCGTTCGAATCGCAGAGATACGATTCCCGTACGTTCCGACGTAAATTAATCATTGCAGATTCTCGTAGCGGCGGCGATTCTCGTCGTTGCGACATTTGCCAAAGATGAGTCCTCGAAAAGCCGCGACAAGAGACAACAGGTGGCGTTTTATCCGAGGAGAGGAGGTAGACCGCCACCCTACGCGGTCCAAATGGAGCCGATCGTTCAGTACTCCCAGAGAGACCCTCTTTACAATCCTCTGGCCAGCTCCAAGAGCGACGATCTCTACGAGGAGGCTCCATTGAATTACTACCCGACTGAACCAGAGCCGATAATCGAAATCATCATCAAGGAATCCAACGAGTCTTTGCCAACACCTGTGCCACCGTCTCCTCCTCCACCTCCTAAACCCACGAAAGAACCCATACAGGTGTTCTATGTCAAGTATGAGAAAAAGAAAGGCTACGGAGATAAGCCTCGAGTCGTTTACGACCCACCGGTGCCCGCGCTAACACCTGTCGAGGAACACGAGGAGATCAAACCGGATAACCCGGCGCCTTACCCGGAAGAACCTGTTCATACACCAACACCGGCTCCATCAGAACCTTCCACGACTTTAAGAGCCATCATTCGACCAGACAGTGAGGTTTATCACTCTGGTTCTAGCGGTATTCGCGTTACATTCGGCACGGAACAGGTGCCACCGAACAATCACAACAAACGCAGCGACCTGGAGGCACCGCCTGTCCAACAACAATCCAAGCCACCCACCAGCGCTCCAGGATCTCCGAAAAGGCAACACGGTCCCTATCAACCGATTCAACCCGTGCATCAAAGGTTACCACCCGCGTTTCCGCAGCAGAGGATCGCAAATTCATTTCCACAACCGCAAACGCTTCATCAACCGCCACAGCAACAGCCGCCGTTGAATTTCTTGCAACAACAACAGCCGCCATTCCAGTCTCCAGCTCAGCAGAGAAACCCATTGCATAGACCTCAACGACTGCCTATAACGATCCAAGGCTTGCCGGAAGTGCAGCAACGAGCGCCGTTCAACAACTTCCCTAACTCAGCCCCCTCTCACCGCGTAAATATCAATCATCCGCAGCAACCAGGTTTCCCTCCTGCGTTGTCGGTCTCCCATCAGAACGTGCAGATACAGAATCAGCCTTTAAATCAGGGAAATCACTTCAACGTGGAACAACAACCGCAGCAACAGCAACCTATACCTCCTTATAAGCAACACGAGTTGGAGAAACAAAGGTACCACGAGCAACGTCGTCAACAAGAGCTGCTGAAGCAACGCGAACATCAAAGACAGCACGAACAGCAGAGGCTTCAGGAGCATCAGAGGTTCTTGGAACAGCAGAGACAGACGGATCAGCAGAGGCACGTAGAGCAACAGAGGCTGTTGGAGCAGCAGAGACAACAAGATCATCAAAGAATTCAGGAACAACAGAGGATACAGGAACAGCAGAGATTGCAGGAGCAGCAGAGACTGCAAGAGCAACAGCGATTGCAGGAACAGCAGAGGTTGCTGGAGCAACGTAGGAGAAAGCAAGAGCAAGAGCATAAACTGTTGCAAGAGCAACAGTATCGTTCACAGTTGAAGTATAATCAAGCGCAGTCGGTGCAAGGTATACCGCAGATCCCTGTGCAGCCTCAGCTTCCAAAGCCTGAAGGAGAAATTTTCAAAGCTGTTCCAAAACTGGAACAGCACTATGCGATTCGAGAGAATCCACTTCACCCTGGTCCTTTCCCGCCTAATCATTCTCATCAGTCGACAGGATTCTCGGAACCAACACGGAATCAGTACGATTCCATTCAACAATTAACTACATCCGCAGAGAATCATCAGTTTCTAAGAACCCCGCCGAGTGAACTTATAAATGATCATCAGCAGCATCTAAACACGAAACAACAAATCGTTCAAAATCAACAGCAAGGATTTTATTCTCAAAACACCCAAACGCCTCAACATCAACAAGTACAACAACGATTCCCGCCATCCTCCCAGCGATCATCCATCTGGGGACGTCCATCATTCTCCGGGAATAATCCATCCCAAAAGATTTACGCTACCCCAGTCACCCCTACGGAAGACTATAACGCAATCTCCACGATCAGACCGTTCATTTCGAGTACTTCGACTACTACCACCACTACAACAACTACAACCACGACTACGGAAGCGCCGACAACTGCCCCCCCAAAGAACGAAGCAAAGATCAAGGAGAACATCGCTAATTTGCCGGATGAAGTGCCAGATGATATCAGGGAGCAGCTGCTGAGTTCCGGTATTTTGGGTAACGCCGACATACAGATACTGGATTACGACAAGGTCGGCGACATACCGATAGAGAAACTACCGCCTGAGGCCCTGGCTAATTTCTACGGCGCTGGAGGCGGTTCCGCGGTCGCAGCCAGCGAACCGGTCCCCTCGATCCTCAAGAAGCCCAAAACGGCTGAGAGTTCGTCTTCATCCGCTTCCTTGTCCACCTCCTCTTCGTCTTCCACCTCTTCGACAGTTTCGGGGAACAAGCCGGCTGCCGGTAGCACGACTCAGATCGAGCAGGCCACCTTGCGGCCCGGCGGCGTGGAGATGAAAGTAGTACGCTTCGATCCGAATACGGAGCAAGGCCAGGCGCTCGCTGATCAGCACATACGCGACGATGCTACCAGGTTGAATCCCGTAACCGTGGGAGCCAGAGACGAGTCCCAGTACAATCGTTATCTACCGCTCAAAGTGAGCGGCGCTTCCTTCCCTATCCCGGACGTACCTCAGTTGAACGGTCGAAAAATTTCCAGCGTGGTCGTGCTGGCGCCGGTGGATTATAACTTTCAAGAAGAGAAAGAGATCGAGTCGAGGCAGGGCAGGAGGGTAAGCGATGTACAGGCGGTCAAGTTTCTCGCCGGTGACACGTTGAAGCAGCTGGTGAAAAAACCATCCGCGGAGAACTACAAGAAGTGGCTGGAACAGGAGAGCCGTACCGAGCCGCAGAAACAGTCGGTGGTGTTGTTGGTAACCATGTAAGTGGTGGAACGCGAGTACGATGCCATAACTAATCACCCTTACCTACCTGTTTGCCATCGTTAATTGGTCCGTTCGCTTTAAATGGCGCGGCCGATTATTCTTTAATGAGCCATTGCTTCTTCCATCCATCGAAGTTCCTGAATCGTCTTTGATCCGCTTCCGTCAACTAACGATCGTCGAGCATCACTTTCCTTTGGCTTTCGGGTAATGCTTTTTTCTTACGGTGTTGCAGGCCAAAGGACGCGAAGCAAGGTGAAAAAGAGATCTTCATGTACGACGTGGTCTCACAAACTGTGAGCAAACTGGCTGGAGATCTGTCCACCGCCTTTGTGGACGCAGCCGAAAGCAATTCTGATAATACCGATTCCTTCAATGATTCTAGTTTCTCAGCGCAGTAAGCTGTCTTAGTATGGGGTCACTGCTATGATCTATCATAGCACATACGGTTTGAATTTAATAAGGAACGAAAGATGAAACAGGCTTAGTGTGCCAAGTCCATGAAAAACATATAAAACTTGATGTTACTTGTACATGTTATCTTAATGTTACAACGAAACCGGAAGAAGGTTTCAGAGAGGTAGAGGACATAAAACTATACGTGTAGATACGTGCATTATGTATTATTATGTATATATTGATTTTCTACTCTTTTTTTATACAAAATAAATGCAATCCTTTTTTATAGGTATGAATAGTTTCTTTGTATACCATGATCGATTTTAAAGAATTCGAATACGTACGGAAACGATCGATTTTGAAACCATCCAAGAACCTTATACGATTTACATTATACTAATTAATTTAGTATTTATATGTACTAAAATTTTTAATGGCAATTGCCATCAATCCCCCTTCCCCCTTTCTTTGATTCGCGGATCTTCCTGGGGTGCATAGAGATGCATCCCCTCCTACCACTTGCATACGCACGCTGACGCGGGAAAATTTGAGTTTACATTTATGTTATACGCCATCTTCCCTAGTGAAGCCGTTGTGCTCGATACTGTAAATACAAATGGCGGCGAGCCGTGTTGCGTTTATTACGATTGAACGGAGTATCTAGCGTTATAACGAAAGTTTTAAATATAAAGAAATACGCTCTAATAATAATCGAATAACGTAAGCATAAAGAATACATTTTCTTCTACTTTTATATTAATATATTTTTATAGGCTCGTGTTTTGGTGTGTCTATAACACACTATTTTGTTGTCAGAATAGGTTATCTTATTTTCACGTCCTTCGCATCAACATGCCAAAAGTCTGATCGACAAAGTATTATTCGAAGAAACTGATCGATGAAAGGGTAAATAATGTCTAGCAGCAGTTCTGAAAGCAGTGACGACAGTCGTCACGAGAAATCACGGAAGAGACGTAAACACAGACGCGACGAGAGTCCTAACCAAGACAGGCGTTCGAACAGAAAGGAATCGAGCAACAAGAATCGAAGTTACAGAGATAGTAGAGAAGGTAGGGACGTTCACAAATTTAGCAGAGACGTAAGAAGAGAAAATAATGATGTACATCGTGATAGATCACAACGCGAACGGGATAGGGAATATAGGAATAGTCGGCATGATCATCCGAGGAGAGACGATGAGAAACAAAATGACAGGAGAAGGTTTGAAAGGTCTCCTTTGAGAAGAGAAGAACCTCGTTCAAGGCATAGAGAGTACGAGGAAAAAGGCAGAAGATACAGAGATGTAGGTGATCATAGAAGATACGATGATACGAATAAAGAAAGGAGGAATACTTTTGAAGAAATGAAAATGAAAAAGGATCACCCTTCACCAGAATGGGGTAAACCCTCTGTAAAATCAGAATCTAAACCAAAGCCTCAGGATAAAGAGAAGCCAAATTTTGAGTTGTCTGGGAAATTAACGGAGGATACAAATACTATAAATGGAATAGTTATTAAATATTCTGAACCATCAGATTCAAGAAAACCTAAACGCAGATGGAGATTGTATCCCTTCAAAGGAGAAAAAGCATTACCTACCTTGTATGTTCATAGACAATCAGCGTATTTAATGGGCAGAGATAGAAAAATCGCTGATATTCCTTTGGATCATCCTTCGTGTTCTAAACAGCACGCTGTCCTACAATATCGTTTAGTATCTTTTCAAAGAGAAGGGGGTGGTGAAGGGAAAAGAATACGCCCTTACCTTATAGACTTGGAGTCTGCAAATGGTACATTTGTAAATAATGTAAAGTTAGAACCAAGAAGATATCATGAATTATTGGAGAGAGATGTATTACGTTTTGGATTCAGCTCGAGAGAATATGTTCTGTTACATGAACACAGCAAGGATGATTCCTTGGACGATGATGTCCCCTTAACTACTACAACAACAGCAACAACTACTGTTACTACTACTACAAGTACTGCATAGGTAATTTTTCAATCTATGATACTTCATGAATATGTTACTTTTTCTCAATATAAGTAACTTTTCATGTACTTTATTCCAGGAATTTGTAAAATATTTGAACAAACAAATCTTTAAATAATTTTAAATTCATTAGCAGTATATTAATATCATCTATTAGATACGATTATAAAACTAGTGTGATTTTTCTTAAGTTATACAGTAAAAAGAAATCTTATTGCTATTCTTAAATAGAGCATTTATGACGGTACAATATTCACTGTAATAAAAATCTTTAATTCTTGGTAAAACAATTTGTCATTAATGACAAAAATTCATTATAATAAATAATATTTGAACAATGTTTATTCATTTACATCGAAACTTTTATTTAGCCCGAACTTAGACGGTAAATTTCATAAATTGCGTGATTCGATAACAAGTAATATGTGTGAGTTAATATAAACGTGTATGTATAACATACAATATTCATACGATTACTACTTCCTTTGCCATATACATTTTTTAATGTGATATTAAAAGGTATTTACAAGAGTTGATTTACTCTCGGTAAAAAATTATTTCGAGGAACTAACAGTATTCAGACAATATTTAAATAGGAAGACTCTAAAAAATATTTCAGAAAACTTGTCGGATTATTTGATTTTGTAAATGCATTTATTTTATTTTCATAACTAAACAATTTTGTCTTACAAAATTATCAAAATATTTTCGGAGAATATCCAAATTTTATTGCTACAATTACCACAGTATATTCTTTCAATTTGTATACCTATAACTCTTCTAATACTTTTACGAAATTTAAAAAAATATTAAATTTGTTTGAGAGTAAAGTATTTACAGTCCCCTTGAAAATGTATGAATGTATTATTAAAATTGTAAAATACGAGTTTAGAACGCTATCAGTTCAGTCATATAAAATTTAATATAATTGAAGACGTATTACTCTTAATTGTACTATTCTCAATAAGAATCACTAAATTTATACATAAAACTTAACAAATCCTTATGTAACATGAAATATTAATTTTTTATATTTTACCCTACGATATCACCGAATATGAAATTTGTACAATGAACAGTGAAAATTTGATCATACTTTTACGTAATTAAATAAATACATTAGTCGCGATAACAAGTATAAAACTATTACTTTCGATCACTTTATAATAATACTCTATATCTATTCTCGTTTCTTACGTGTTACGACAACAAGTCACCGATTACAACTAAAACTGCTACAGTAAAAAAAAAAAAGAAATTTCTGCCACAAATTTACCTACAAATTAATGATACGTATTAAACTTTTAAATATTTACATATTAATATGGCAGTTTAGAACTATGGAACTTGACGCGCGTTTCCAGTTTCATCGTGCAGTTATAACTGAAACTTACGATTGTGCTTTAACGACTTTAATTAATCCATCCTCACCTTTAACAACAATAACTTCAGGATCCGTTCACTCTAACGGCATCCGTATTAATATTCGTATACGTGACTATATTGTTGCTGTCTTCGACGACAGGAGTTTGTCTTAATAAATTTAACAATGCACTATTTATCACCAAAGGAATGTTGGCTTTACCATTTTGTAAATTAGAATGAGTCCTTTGAATTTTTGGCAATGTGCTTTTAACGTTACCATCGTTCGCCATTGTGTCTCCACCGATAACACTGTTCTTCAGAGGAAGAACATTTTGCGAACTAATTAAAGATGAGCTAGGTCGTGTTGGTGGAGCTAAACTGATACTGGAGCTTAACGAACTAGAACTTCTACCTTCTAAACTTATCTCCGAACCTCGTCGTTCGACTATGTTCCTTTTATTCTTTCGTTGATCAGTTAGAGACGTGAAGGAGTCTCTTTTTAAGATCGTTTTAACAGTCGGTCCTGATTGCGAGCAATCAGAACCGTTAGACTTTTCAGTCATACTTGCAAGCGATGCTCTTTTACGCTCGGGTAAACTTAAACTGGATACCGAAGATCTCTTATCACATTTCTTCCCCAGTTGTTCTTTGGTGTCACTCAAAGTACCTTTCTGTTCTTGGTCAGAGTGTAAATTCTTCTTTAGATCTCCATTTGTACTAGGTTTGGTTGTATTAGTCAGGTTCGGATGAGAGATATGGATCGATCGAGGCACTTCGTATCCGTTCGTCGAATTTTCCCTTAAAATAATATCCTCGTTATCCGCTAATAACTCTAAATATTTCGGTGTATCACTGGATTGCGATGTCAGGGCTGCGTTATGAGAATTCTGAAGGAATGGTTGCATATCGCGACTGCCTTCGGAACTGCTCGATTTCCAGGAGCTCCCTGAGAAAATCATTCGATTATAATATATTCCCTTATCGAGAAAGTTTTTGTGAATTATGATGAAAGATCGACGGAGAAAGCAGAGCATAGATGATGTTTAGAATAAACCTACCTGAATTATTATGATTTTGATTCTCGTCGGCAAAGTAAGCCATGTTAGACACGCCTGCAAGCATGAGCCATGCGATGATAAATATGTGTCCAAGCAAATTTTTATATTTATACATTAAACATTTTTATGAATTAACGAACAATGATCATCGAAAGAATTATGTAACTCGAGTGAAGCATGCTTATTTTTACACCGAAGATAAATTGAGCGATAACATTGTTATGACAAAATTGAAGACATTTATAGATGTATGATTATATATGTCAGTAAAAGCTAACATGTAAAATAAGCGCTCTTCAGATTCGACAAGCCAAGATGTATCAGATTGACAATTTCGTGCCAACAGATTTGCATAATGCAAATATTTGAGCCTAGGCCTTACCTCTTCTAGCCAGGTAATGACCAGCGTGTACCGGACTTAACGGCGCGTCCTCTATAGTGCTACGAAGACTAACTATGTTTTCAAGGCAAACTTTGAAACTCGGCCTGGCATCAGCGGCACTCCAACAACGCAGCATCAGTTGATGTAGAACAGGTGGACAGTTGAGAGGTTTGGGTAACCTTCCACCCGCACGAACGTGGTGTAATACTTCTAGATTAGTCCTGGCAGGATACGGTTGCTGCCCTAACGACGTGATTTCCCACATCAGTACTCCAAATGCCCAAACGTCACTCTGAGAAGTGAATACTCCATCCACCAATGATTCAGGAGCCATCCAACGAACGGGGAGCAACCCTTCCCCTTCCTGTATGGAAAAGAAATTTGAATATCATTGTAACCCTAAATGATGAAGTTACAGGAGTACTGACCTTTCTATAGTAATCGTTCTTGTATATATCCCTGGCAAGGCCAAAGTCACCGATCTTAACGACACGGTTCTCTCGATCCCTAGCAGATACCAGGCAATTTCTGCAGGCTAGATCTCTATGTACAAAATGCAGGTCCTCCAAATAACGACATCCCCTAGCGACATCTTCGCACATGGCAAGTAAATCTTGCAAGCGCAGAGCATGTGGATCGGAAGGCTGCAACGAGCGGCTGGCTCTCAAATAACTTAACAAATCGCCAGCCTCCATCAGTTCCAGCACCAACAGTGGTGGATCTGTGTCTAAACAAACTCCCAGAAGTCTGAGCACGTGTTTATGCCGAAAATGACTCATAAGTCTGGCTTCCTGAAGGAACTCGGTCTTCTCCTGAGCCGATGCTCCCTTTCGTAGGGTTTTTATAGCAACCGGGGTGATTCCTGGTCTCTCCAAATCTTTCGCGTTACCTTGAAACACCTGTGAAATTTTCAAATAGAGATTTATCACTTTTCCGATGACAATCACCTCTCACACTCACCTCTCCAAATGCCCCGCTGCCCAGAAACTTGGCCAGTGTGATTTGTTCCCTTCTGATTTTCGGCAACGTCGAGTCATCAGGATCAGTTTGCAAAGTGGACGCATAAAGAGCGTTGGATTGAACGAAATTTCCTCTCGGTATCTCCCGTAGAGTCGCCAGTTCTACGTCGCTTACTAACGGAGGTAGAACTGCCTTTTTGTCCTCCTTGCGTTGCCGATACACTGCTGAATTACAAAATTGATCCTTTATATTTCTCTTACGTTCTCTGATCTACGATTACACCAGCTGGTGTTGGGGTTCAAGACCTCCTGATGTAATCCTACACTTACGGCAAAGAAAATAACAAAAGCAGATGAGCATGATGGTGATAACAGGGACGCTGAGTCCCAGCACCAAACCAAGATGCTGTTGTGTCGCTAATATTCCTCCTGTAGTTTCAGTTAAATCAATGACGAGACTGGATCTGCTCCATGGGCCAAATCCGTACGCGTTTTTAGCCTGAACCCGGAACCGATACTTGTCGTCCATGTCGCCCGTGATTATCCAGTAATTATCCGTTCCATTGTAATACAGTTTCCAGCTGGTATTATCGCTCGAGTCTATTTGTTCGTTGATCTCGTTTATTTTCATCCCTTCCAGACGGTATAGCGTGATCTGTGAACCATGAGCCTGGGCAGGTTCCCAGTTTAATTGATACACGGAATTGCGAAGCTTAGTAACTGTAGGCATTCCTGGCGCACTTGGTACATCACCTATAAATTAAAATAAACAATTTAGAAAATCAGGAAACTATAATTAGAATGTTAATTTTAAAATTCGTTTACCCATTGTCAGAAACGTGAACCCCCCATCGGGTGGCCAAACAAAGTCTTTCTTATAATTAGGGTATCTAATGAGCAGACGAAATTTGTACGAAGTACGCGGTTGTAGGTTCTTGATAAAGTAAGTCACTTTGTTTTTGTACATTTTAGAATCATTCGCCACTTGCCAGTCCTCCATGGCAACATCTTTATACTCTAAAGTGTATTTGACTTGATTCACGGTTGGCGTCCAAGTTACATTCAGACTGTCCAAACTGACCCCAGTTAAGAATATTTTATTAGGCTCCGGGTACATTGTCACCGGTTTGCCAAGACTCTCGCTATAATTGTCGTTAGATTCAGCAGGATAGGCACGGACGAACACTTTATACTTCTGACCAGGCAACCATGGTTCGAGCATGCTAAAGAATCGACCATCCGCGGTGCGCTCGTTGCCCTTTATCAACTGTTCTCCCTTTTGTCGTGCCCCGTTTATCAGGCTATCTAGCTTCCAATGTATTTCGTATCGGACAGCAGCAGCGTTTAGTATCTTTGGAGGCATCCAATAAACGATGGCCAACGTTGGGGTCAGAGCCTCGACAGTTACGTTTTCTGGAGCAGTCGGAGCACCAGCTCCGGTTCTCAGTACCACGCCAGAGCCAAACTCTAAGCTCATCGATTCTAAATCAGCATAGTAATTGCTCAATGCCAGTTTCAATCTGTACTTCGTGAAAGGCTTCAGATTCTTTATTTGATACTCAGTTTCGTATGTCTGCAACTTTGTTCTGTCAGTGTCCTTGCACATGTTAGGATCATTTTCCAAGCACGGAGACACGTATATCGTGTACAGTGTCGTAGGTAAATTGTATTCCTTGCAATCGAACTGAGGTACAGGTCGAGGAAGCTTCACAGTGATAGTATTCGCTGTTTTATTGGATTCTTCGACGTTGTAGGACACCTGATGGGGTATCAAGCAATTCGTTATGGGATAGGATTGCAATGATTTCCCAAGAGCTTTTATGCTGCGCACGGTTGGCAGATAGAAATGCTTGATATCTTCATCGTCAGGGTACTTTTTATTTACGAAGTAAATCTGATCCTCCGCGATATTGGACCAATAGATGTTCATCTTGTCGACTGTTAACGAGGTCGGTGGCAGGCCTTTGTTGAAGCTCGCGCTCACTATCAAGCTGCAAGTGCAACCATTGATGTCAGCGATGTTTAGGTGCCCTTCCAGGGAGATCCAGTACATGACTGGTTTCTGATAGTTCGTGCTGTCGATCGTCATCACGGGAATCACCGACGGTCTGTACGGACAAGAGCAGTCGTCTGTGTGATTGAAGAACAATTGATTCGATTTTCCATTCAAATCTGATTGCATTATCACTCCGATGTCCTTCTTCGTTAATTCTATCCAGTACAGTGATCTGTAACAAATCATTATCATAAAGTGTAATAGAGTCTGATGAATTCAATTGGCCGATTTCTATTAACACTTTGACTGCCACGCTAAAGCCGTTGAACATTTCATAAAGTATTACTTTTGTCTTCACAAATCTTAAAGTAGTTAATTATATTTTTATTTCCAATTACGTAAGTCAATGAATTATTAATAATGAGTGATGGATTCCTATTGAAATTCAAGTGTATATGGGTCACCATATATGGATGACCTGGCAGTCAGAGTGTTAAGCAGAATGCACTAATTACCCTGTAGATGGTAACACGTCAAGGTTCACTATGCGCCTATTCGTCGTAACGATATTCTCGTACTTAAGAATACCAACTTGCCAGGTGGTCAAATCTAACTTCATGATACGACCTTCGTTTTCTATGTAGCTCGATTCGGACCAATACAAGTTCCTCGCCACCCAATCGACGGTTATACTAAGAGCACTGTTGTTCAATGCCAACATTTTCGTGGCATTCGCACCGTTCAACTCCGAAGTGACCAACTCTTGCATCTCGTTTATCCAATAGATTTTACTCTCCGCAGCTAGATAGGCCACCTCGATGGCAATGTGTCGAGTGATCGTGTAATTTACTTCTTGATCTAGATCCGATACCCTAACCGCATCCAGCGTAGCTACTAACAGTTGGGGTACCGGATTCTCGTATATCGTTGAAATGTTTATCACATCCGTGTACGGCCCTGCGCCGATCTCGGTATGCGCTCGAACTTGGAAGTAGTAAGTTGTGTTTGGCAAGAGATCTTGCACAGTGTGCTCCAGTAATGACGCAGGAATCAAAGAGTTATCGCAGATTTGGATCTCTGTGTGGTTCTCTATGAACCAACATTGAACTGTGTACCCAGTGATCAAACCATTAGTGAACTCTGGTTGGTCCCATCTGTAATCAGATTATCGTTTTCATTTATTTTCTTCTGTAAAATTTCTTTCTGTAAATTCTTACCTGAATATCGCGAATATATCTACGTTCTCGCTCAGTGGTTCTTTGTGGAACTCTATGAAGGCTCTGGGATTGGTTGGTTGGGTCGGCACACTTTGCGGTGATCTTAATATCTTCCTGGTATGGTGTGCAGTTTCCCAGTAAGTGAACGCTTTCACTGTCACCTCCAGGACCGAATAAGGTAGAATCTGTTCCGAGTTGTTGTAAGGCATCGAAGTCTCAGTCGTGATCTCTGGATTCGAATTCGTGTTTATGTAGTCTGCGAATTTCACTTCGTAGAATACAGTGCCGTAGTTGATGTTCTCCACAGGGTCCCAGGATATGTTGAAGTTCCTCCAGATCCCTTCAACTCTGATGCTACTGTAATTAACCGCGTTTGGTAGAACGACCACCGTCTCTGATGTTAGATTCTTTGGGTATTGATGAAGAGCTGGATCCATCACGGCTACCATACGAAGGCCCGATAGAGCGATGCCATTTATCACAGCTGTGTTCTGACCTGACAGATCGCCTATCACTGCGTTTCGATCGTCTTGCAGCCAGAAAAGGTGCTCTGAAAAGTAACACAAAGAGCCTTGCATGTTTGGATGCTGCAGGGCTGACACCTGGAAACAAAATGAACAGATCAATACAAAATTTAAAACATCAGTCAATCGAGGCAAAAAAAATCTTTGATAATAATAAGAACCTTCTCAGGCACAATTTTGTGACTCATAGGGATCCTTTCTGACGTTGGTGCACGATAGACAATCGATCCACTCTCATAACTACGAACAATCCAATAAACGTATCTGTTTTCTGTGTCCAACGTTAAACCCATCACTTGTTTGCCATTGAATATCTCGTCAGAATGATAGTATCTTCTATCCTGTCCATTTAAGCGCGCTACTTCAACCGCATGACCTGTGGACCAATATAAATACGCCTCCAAAGAATCGATCATTAATTCCTTAACTATGGCTAAAATTGACATAGGTTCCTGATGAGATCCATTTAAATTTGCTCTTGTAATCTGGAATGAGTAGATATGAAAATAAATCATACTCGTCTTTGAGGTATTAAAAGTTGATTGAAAGGATCTTTGTTATATTTACAATTTGTTGCTTCGGATTAGCCCAGTATAATTTTCTCGATAGCCAGTCAACAGCCACGCTACCGACGGAATGAATGTTCATCTTGCTCTTCTGATGGCTAGTGACATTGTATCGGTACAACGCGGAATTATTTCCCACGATATATAGAACATCCTTGTGCCAAGTGACGTCGACGATATGATAGTCGGTCTCTGCTTCTTTTAAACTCGCTTTGTATATCAGAGTTTCGATATTCTCACCAGTTACGTCGCTTCTTAGGAGACCTTCGTTCGCGGACCAAAGAATGGACGCGTGTGATCCGTCTCTAAAATTCGAACGATTTTTATGCAAAATATTTCACATCTTTCGAACAACGTTAGAAAGAAATTTACCTTAACGTTCGTCCCCTGAATTCGGTGGACCACGGTCCTCTGCCAGCGCTGGTATAAGCGGCAGCTTTGATCGAATACTCTGATTTCTCTCGAAGATTATGCACAGTGTGAGACGATCCGGCGATATCTTTCTGATGGATCGTCTCCCCAGTGGACTCGTCCTTGATCTCGAGCTCGTAGGACCAATTCTGCCAAGCGCCCTTACCCTGACCGCCCAACAAATGAGGCGCTTGCCAAGAAACTTTGGCCCTCTCTACCCCGAGAACAGCTTGGACACCCGTGGGAGGATTCACCGGAACAGGAATGGGCTGGCTCGCGTCCATAAGTACATTGACACTGATAAATGAACCGTTCGACCTGGAAGGGACATCTCTATTCAGCATTCCGTACCGAGGTCGTAGGATCAGAGATCGAAGTTCAATATGTATTCAAAAATTCGAGTTGAAAATAAGGGTTTCCTTTTATGGCACTTGAATGCAACTCGAGAATATTTCATACACCATTGAAGATACGAGAAAAGTGTTGTAGAAAAGATTCTAAGGTCAAGTTAATTTTTCAAATGGAATACAATGGATTACAAGATCTGAATTTTTAAGATTTCATAAATGTACAACCTTTTATTATAACTGAATTGATCATTAATGGATTCTCACCTATCAGGATAGGCATTATGAAAATATCTGTTCTGTCCTGAATGATATCCTTCTATCAATACCTCCTCCCCGTTGGTAAAGTAAAACAAACCGTTCGCCATTGCTAAAGAGATTACATTCTTGAATTTCGGTTGCTGAGTGTTGTTACGGATATTGAACAGCTCCCGACCATCCAGGGAAAGTGACCTCACCGTGTTATTAATGTGACTAGGGACTAACAACTGAAAGTTCGTGTGGTCTACAGTGAATGCGTTCAAATAAGCTTCTTCCAGGATTAAATAAGGCTGAACCTGAAGAGAATAGCTAGTGCTTTTATTTATTTCATGGAAATTATTGTTCGAATCTGTTAAAAAGATTGGAAGTACCTCGTGTTTCACTCCGTTGCTAATGTCAGCCAGATCCAATCTGTACAAACCGCACTTGTTCACCCAGAATAAGTATCCATTGTACGGGTCTACTTCGATGTGAGTGGGTTGCATTAAGGAACCAGCCACGGCAACAGTCAAACCTCTTCCATCTAAATTGCATCTTGCTATCTGCCAAATCGTCGCGTGTTTCACCTCGCCCAGAATGTATAAATGCAGGTTCAGCCAATCGACGGACAGGCTTAACGGTTTGAAGTTAGTTTGACTGGGGCTCAGTATCACTGTCGGTTTCGTTCGTTTCTCGAGGGACGTTCTGTACACGTATCCCATGGAATCAGAGACGAAAAGCTGGGCGGAAGCAACGTGGATCGCGACACCACAAATCGTACTCGGGTTCTCGTAAATCACGCTGGGATCGTCAAGCATGTCCGCGTCCTGCTTCATGACTACGTGTTGCCCTCCGAGAATTAGAATTGGTTGTTGCGTGTCTTTCACTGGAATATTATCGAATTAATTAACTGATCGTGTTTCTTTATCGAATATCCGGAGCTGAGAACTAGTCATTCGAAATACATTTTTATCGTTTCTCTGAATCTATTTCAAAATTTTCCAAGCTCTTTCTATTTGTACGTACCAGCCGGTTCCGGGGTTGTTGTAATGCAAGTGACCGCAGAAGGACCCTCGCCGACACCGTTTCTCATAGTTACGCTTATGGAATAATTTTGATTCGGCTCGAGATTTTGAAACATGTAGTGACCCATGATTTTGAGACATGTAGTATTCTCTGACGCTGGTATATCCTGTTAATTGATTGTAAATAGTGTTAGAGAATTTATTATTTTAGCTTATCCCTTTCGATCCCTTCGGGAAATCAGTATGCGAGTAGGGAAAGAAACGCCATGCCAGAAACGTGTATCGCGGAAGATCTGGTTCGTACAAGTTAACAAGCTGATATTAACGGGATTAAATTGTATAAATTAATCCTTTACAGTCCGATATTCTTAATTAATCCGTATTTTAGATTCTATATTAAAATGTTTCAGTTTTATAAATATGGTAGCGTTTAATTAGGCTTATGCCGGTGAGGCACACTTGGACCGTAAAGAATTAATAGATTTGCGATAGCAGAGTTATTCGAAGCAATGAGGAAGCGGTTAAAGCGTATGCTTTTCAAAAATATTAGCAAGCCTAAAGTAGGCTATAGTTTAATAAATAATTTAACACGTTGACTACCGTAATGAAAATAGCAGTTAATTTGTGAATTTCAATTTTCAAACTTTCAGTTTGCTATCCAATTTACTATGGCATTCAACGTGTTAATAAACATCTCGAATTATACAAAATATCGACAATTTTCTGAGCTGCATAGAAAAATTTGCATTCTCCATAAACCATGCTTGTTCCTTTAGCATTTTTATCTATCAAAGTGCATTCTTACTCGGGAAAGGTGAGGAATCTTGTAGAACCAGTTGATATATCGCACAGTGCTGTCTGCTATAACAGTTAGAAAGAATAGGAAAGTGCTATTGGCTTTTTGCGTCGATAGAACGCTGCTTTTAGTGACGATAGCTTAGAAAGATCAGTACGTGTAGCTAAAGTAATAGATTGTTGCATATCAAATGATAAATTACAAAATATATAAATAATCCACCTTTCGATCTGCAACAATTTTGACAGAAAAAAGGTGATCGAGAAAAGTGATCAAGAGACATTGATAATTGGTATCCGTTCGAATGATTGAAGTTCTGGCGTGGCGTGTACCTTAAGCTGGGAGTAGTCAGCCCCTTGCAGTCGCAGGACATAAGACAAAAGTGGCCCGTTTGGAAATGGACCTGGTTCCCAAGACACAGAGACACGGCAGCTGTCAACCACCGCCGCTCTTACAATTACCGGTGCTGAGGTCGGTAAACCCTCTGCCAGCGTTCGTATCACGACGCTCGGAGCGGAGACGATCGGCTCGGGATTGTGTTGCGATGATTTTAAGAGTAACGCTACGCGAAACTGCAATTAAACACCGCAGTCGTCCGGAATTAATCTATTATTGAGAAAATTCAGTTTGGAACTTCTCTTGATTAACACCTTCGAGCCCGTTTGGGTAGATGAGATGACCAAGAGAACATTAAACCCTGAATATTTTATACAAAGATCAACTTACTCTGTACTTCGTGTACGGCTGCAAGTTCTCCACCAAGATCTGATCATCTTCCCCCCAAGATTGATTTCTGCAGTACTGCCAAGTTTCAGCCAGTTCTTCGTACCTCCATTGCACCAGATACGAGATTCCTCCTCCGCGTCTTTCGATGTCTATTCCTTTCCATTCGAGCCTCAGAGATGTTGCGGTCAACGAGTCCGCCACCAGAGCCGGCGCGGGTGGGATGCCGATTTCCGCTGATAATCGACAACAAAAATCATTTCGTTACGTTCACAGACATGAAGATCGACAAAAGTCGATCGAGTGGCCAATTTCACGAAACCTAACCGCGTTGTTGTCTAATCTGTGTATACTGTATACGAAGAATCTCATCTGACGATGAATAATTTGTAAATTTTACAAATATCTTCCGATAAGAAAGTGACAGAATGAACGCAGAACGACAGCGTGCGTTCGCCGAGTACCAGAAGATACTGGACGAGCTAAAGACTGCGTTCTACGAGCGATGGAAGGTTAAGAAAACTGACAACGTCTCCATGAAGGACTTCGAGCGATTTCGAACGGTCGGCAGCGGTGCTTTCGGACGGGTTATACTCGTCAGATACAGGCCAACTTCCGTCTTCTACGCTATGAAAATCCTGGACAAAGCGAAGATCGTGAAGATGAAACAGGTGGATCACACCCACAACGAGAAGAAGATACTCCAGTGTGTTAGGTTCCCTTTCGTCGTTTTCATGGAGTTCTTCTTCAAGGATAACTCTTACATTTACATGGTATTGCCGTTTATAAATGGTGGGGAAATGTTTACTCATCTAAGGCGAATGGGGAAGTTCGATGAATCCCTGTCGAGATTCTATGCAGCCCAGGTGGCTTTGGCGTTGGAATACCTTCATCATTGCAGCCTGGTTTACAGAGATTTAAAACCGGAGAATATTTTGATTCAGCACACTGGTTATATACGAGTGACGGATTTCGGTTTTTGCAAAATGATCGACGGAAGAACATGGACCCTGTGCGGCACACCCGAGTATCTGGCACCGGAAGTGATCCTGTCGAAGGGTTACGGGAAATCCGTGGACTGGTGGAGTTTCGGTGTGCTGATCTACGAGATGAACGCTGGTTATCCGCCGTTTTATTCACGGGATCCCATGAAGATATACGAGAAAATCGTTGCTGGGAAATATAAATTCGCTCATCATTTTGGCGAAGAGTTGAAGGATATCTTGAAGAATATACTTCAGGTGGATCTGACAAGACGGTACGGGAACTTGAAGGGTGGTAGCATGGACATCAAAGGTCACAAATGGTTCCAGTCCACCGACTGGAACCAGATTTACCATCAGAAGATTACGCCCACTTTTATACCGCAATGCGAAACACCGGACGACACGAGAAATTTTGATCATTACGAGGAGGAGTCGTTGAGGGTGGATCAGGTTGATCGTTTCGCCAAAGAGTTTGCAAATTTTTAATTTTAACATACGATATAAAATAATTAACGGTAGACGGTTTCAGTTTTTTTCAAAAGTGCATCGTTGCATTTATCGGAAAATTGAAGTTGCAAGAAGGTTTCCCTCTGCAACTTTCTTTCTATTTTCAACGATCTTAAAGATATAGTTTAATATTGCTCGAAAGACTATTTAACACTGCTATGAATCAGGTTTCGTTACCTTTCAATTGTTGGAAGTAACGATTTAGCGCGTCGTGACAACCCAGAACACAATAGAGTTCCTTGGGCGGCAGCAGTTCTTGCGTTCCATTCTGTAAAGAATACCATTTGATTTTGTAGAAAACAAAACTAGACGTAGGAAAATAATACGCGCAACGTTCAATTTCATGATAAGCAGTAATATTGTTTCAGAATATTATACTAACGCAGACGGCTTGACAGCTCGTGTCGAGTGCTCGTTGCCACGCTCCACAGCCTTTTGTGCACTGAAACAGATAGAAAGCAACGTTCGTGTAAAATTGCGTTACATGATTGTATAAAATGTATTACAGTTAATCGAATTATTATTCAACGATTTATAAGAAGTTTATCATTGCAATTGCACTTCATCTATGAATTAGCGAATTAGATTTTTATTATAATTACAATTTTCCCTTAATATTATTTTCTTTTGGACACTAATTAGTTTTGGTTAAAATTCATCGAATTTTTTACATTTCCTAGCTCGGAATTTTGATAGTAGACATTGGTTTGCTTTTAAGTGGTATCTAGGAGGATAAGAAGTACTTTTAGCTCTTCCAATTTATCTTGTCTTCGGTAGAATAGAAAATACCAGCAGTTAGAAGCCAACTCGAACTCGAAGAGCTTGGTGTAATTTATCTACCCTAAAATAGAGTTTCCATTTCTTGGCCACTGTCTAAATAAATCGCTGCGAAAATTATTAACCCTCCGTGGCATTAATTTTGTCACTGCACGGTTAGCATGTTGAAGAGTTAAAAGACAGTTGGTCCAATTTCTGAGTGGCGTACGACCGATGCCAGACACGACATTATTTTGGCATTGAACCGACTGCAACGTCCACGAGACAAGTTGAACTCGTGTTTGAAAAGACGAAGAAGAAGGTACGGCACGTGCCTCAAGTAACGCCCACGTTCATAAGACGGGTCGGTCGGTGTTCGTGCCGAGCATGGATTTGCGAACCGAAGTTTAACGCATTAACTTTCTGCACGAGAGGATGTGGGCATTTGTCGGCGACAACAAGCCGGCCGTACAGAACGAAGGAAACGAACGTGCCACGAGCGTGGAACGTGTCATTTTTGTTCGCCATTGAAATCGTGATCGTGCATGCAACGTACTGAATTTTTTCACTTAATCCTTCAACGCTGATACGTTCCTCTTAAGCCTCGCCTTTTTTTCCTTTCCATGTGAACGATAAACGCGTCGCGAGATCAGCAAATGTTATCGTACAGAAAATTGCGTTACATCTTTGACGTGGTTTATTAACCCGTTTCGTAGCAATCTTGCTTAATAATTAATAGAAGAATTCATCATTCTTTCTGTTCGATCGTTAATTAACCTGGCGATGATCAGCTGGGAATTTTTACCAAGGTGTATTGATAGGGAAAGTTCTCAAAAGTGATCAATTTCTAAGATATTTTCATTCGGAGATGCACTGAGATGCATGTGCATCGTTGCATTTGGAAAACAATGCAGTCTTCTATGAAACATTGAAATCAAAGAAGAGGTATAACTCTCAGTTGCATGGACGGAGGTCGTCTATCTTGAGATAAATAAAGAATCCGGTAGGGAGCATCTTGAAATGGAACATAACGCGAAATGTAAATACACAGAAGTGATTTGCCCTGCTCGGCCACTTCAACAACTCCAGGAAGACACAGAGATAGTTTGTGGTAGGAGTTCCTCTTCATCGAGTAGCTTTCCGTTAACTGCAACTCATTCTCCTCTTCAAGTACATATCATCTTTCAGCATAGGACTGGATGAATCTGTTCTAGTCGCGTTTCCTGTTTCAATTTCAAACTTTGCCTGGTAGCAAGTCGGTAATTGGTATTTAATCGTCCTTGAGAGCCATTTACCAATTGTCAAGCTGATCGACACTCGGCCGAGTTCGAGAGGCGCCGCACATGAATGATACCACTCTCGACATTTTAGAATAATAAGCGACCCGAGGAAAGCTTAATAGTTCACCTGTGTCAATTATTTAAATTTTCAAACGAACCGTTCTTTGCAATTCTGCGACTCAAAACTACTGCGTTCAGATATCGTAATTATATTCATTTTTAATTGGATGATAAGAGTTCAGTTTATTCGAGTGGACATACTTGTCACCCAGGTGATAATTACTAAATTAATTAAAATAATTAATCCGCAATTTTTTTAAGAGGAATTACTCAGAGTGACGAGTAGTACCTCTATTTTTAATTGAATTTTTCAGCTATAAAGTGTACAATTTTGATTGAGAAAAATTTTACTGAGTCAGATAGGAAAAATATGGAGTACGATGATTGTTGACTAATTAACGCCATCACGCAGTAATTCCAATATTTATATGCACATATGTACTGCGGTATTGGAGGGTATCACATAGGTCAGATCGTCTGAAAAATCGAGAAGGAACCTTCGGTGCTAGATAAATAAGTTATTAATAAACATTTGGTGGCAGTCTAGTTTTACGACCGCAGCTTGAAGCATTGTAACAACACGCGACATCGACGCCGATCGAGTGAAATAATTGTTATCGAAGTAAGTTCGCGTGTACGAGGAATCTATCAAACAAATCACCGGCAATCTCGTTTCGTAGAAAGTGTAATTTATTTGAGTGAAAAGCTCGGGTTTAAAAATACGACGTTGGCTGATCATTGTTATCGTTAGAAAAAAAAAAAGAAAAGAGTAGATACAAAGGGAAGGAATCGAAGGAGCGTGTAACAGGCGTCGGACAAGCATATTTATCTACGCAATGCACGATAGTCGAAACGGCCGTTCTAACAACCGAGGCGACGATTATTTTTAACGTCTCAATTAATCATATTTTCTCCGTGACATTTCATTGCTTCGCCCATTATCAAGCTCGATCCCCTTTTTCAATTAGTTCGCACGAAACACTGCGTTTCTTGAACGCTTCGCTCTTCCATCCCTACCATTCGATTCCATTGGTTGATTAGACGATTTTTACACTAGGATCAAAATCTTCTGTATAATCAGAATAGATCAAGTGATTGTAATTCAGGGCAAAAATAATTTTTTTGCTAGTTCAATGCAATTGGTAATTCGTGGTTAATCAATCAAAGATGATCCAATTTAAATACTTTATTAAGATTTGCCCGAGCTCGTTAAATGTTTGCGTTTTTTTTTCTGATAGAGCAGCAAATAACAATAATAGGGGTTGACAAAACTATCAGACGATGGAAAATGGTTGAAGCATAGTGGCTCGACGCTGCTGCCCGCTAATTTCTCACTTCCTCATTAAAACCTCAACACGCATTACGCCCCAGGCCTGGCCCTCGCTCTACTTGGCTCCCCGTAGATCGTAGATCTTCATGCTACCACGGACGAGGATCTATCCGTTCTCTCCTCGTTTCGCTTGAACCCTAACTGATTCCATTCGAACGACACAAGATGTTGACGCGTCAGCAAATAACACTGCTGGAAAATGAATAATTCATTTGTTTCGAAGATTTCCCCTTCCATTTCTCGCGTCGTAATTAATTAGAACTTATGAAAAATGCGGAAGCAAGATATACACACTTTGGTTGTTTACTGATAGATACAAGAGGGATGAGGGTGGTCTTGAGAGTTTCGTTTGCACGAAATAAACGAAGGAGTCGAACAGTTTCTGGTAGCCAATGTCGAGTAGCTACGTTTGTCATGGATATCCTCAATCACGGTGGTCCTCCACTTCAGGAACATGCTTTAAATGTCTAGACTCGTTTTTGCCAGACAGAAATTTTTCTTTCTCTTTACTTAGGGTTGTTTGTATCCTCTATTGCTGCTACGTAAACTAACTACCGGATATTTTCATTTCTTCGTTCAATTTAATTTAAATTAATTTCGAAGTTGACTAAATGAATTAAGCTTCATTTTTTCGTAAAAATTTCAATGGATTTTTGTATGAAAAATTTGTTTCTTCCTGGTTGTATCATTCGTCACGGGACACGTGATGGTACAAAAGAAATTCCGGGGGTTCGTCGCTATCGAGGCATGAAATTACCGGAAATAGCGTCGTGGCCGAACCAGTCTCGTATAAATTTCAACTCTCGAAAACGCAGCGCAAAAGTTCCTTCCTCTCCACGCGAGTCTACGCATCTAACGCTTAGATTTCTTTCTGTAAACGTTTCGAAGTAGGTACATCGTGAACACGAGCGAGAATTTAGCGATAAAATCGCCGGGATTAACGGAGGAGGGTAATTAGGGTTGCGTTTAGCAAAAAGTAGAGCGTCTTCCTCTCGAATCGTGTCGACCACAAGCTAACCGTTACTCGTGCGCGTTACTGGAACGTACGAACCGTGAAACGAGGCGAGGGAGGAAATCGTTTCTAGCGCAATTCACCTATCCGCAACTCCTGGTATTCGTGGCTTATTCAACTCTGCACGCAACTTTATACCACGCGATTCTTTCGAAAGACGTGCAATCTATAGTCTGAAATATGAAAAATAATGTTTTCTTAAGGAATAAAATAAAGGGTTGCTCCACCCCATCAATTAAAAAAATCATTATAACAATGGTTCATCCTAAAAAATCATTCAGGAAGCTACTGCAGTAAAGGGTTAACGATCACATTCTTATTTTTCGGTTGGGCCCGATAATTAACCGTATCGCAGGGCCTTTTGTCCTTTTCGTCGCGTTAATTACAGCTCTCGCTTCCTACCCTGGAGACACGCGTAGCTGGATATCCTTCCGGCCACGCTAGGGGTCCTTTCTTTTTCCCCTTTGTAAAATGGAACGTGCTAATGGATCGTCTACGAATCCAGGAACGCTTCTAAATTTCAAATACCTCAACACCCACGACTAAACTTGTTGTATCGATGCATCCTACCAAATCTCTTCTGGTAAGGGTTAAATAGCCATGCTTTTCCTGCGCTTTTTCGGCCAGACTTCCGGAACGGGGCCAAAGAAGAGGATGGCGAACAGTGTGGAAAGAGAGGAGAGAACGGAGAGAGCGAATCCGGAGTCACACGGTAATTTGGCGACATCCGCCATAGGACGCACTTGTACGCGATCCAATTTAAAGTCACGAAGCCGTACGAACCCAACCATTCTTTCATTCGTACCCGTAATACGTATACACGTTCGTCGATTCGTCGGCCACCTATCTACGTACACTGGAATCGAATGGTACAAGGGGGTGAAAGGGAGACGGTGGAGCTGACTTTGTTTTTATTTGCCGTTTACCGTCTCTTTAGCAGCGAGCCAGTGAACGGGCACCCCGGGGTCCATCAGCGGAAGTACTTTCATTGTGCCTGGGGACCGGCGTCCCTTTATTTTTGTCTCCGACGTTTGCCTATGTTAATAAACGTTCCACGATACTCGCCGACGGAGATGCTTTAAATTTGCTGGTAACAAGAGAATTATACGCGAGTCCAAGGCCCAGACTGAACGAGAATTAATCCTTTTAGACACAGGGTACGGAGGTCAATTTTTGACTAATATTAATATTAACCCTTTAATAGAACAGGTGTATTTCAACTTACCTGGTCGATCTTGCATCGTACTCCACACCCCACCTCTGAACTTAAGTCGTCCGTTCGATTCTGGAAAAGAAATAATACAAATTTAATACAAATGTTTCAATCTTTGGAAGTGATAAATTTCTAATTCCTGATGTTGTAAATTGCAGAACCTTCTAAGGGTGGATTTGGATCTGACTCCCACGCCTATACAAGGGTGCTTTATTTTAAGAAATAATTTTTTAATACACTGTGAATTCCCACACGTCCCAACGAAATATGCAAACCATTTCCTTGTTGGAAGTCGATTGCAGTGTAACGACAGGCTATGCACGCGATGATTGAAATTCATGAACGAGCAGGTGACAATAGCATTCTTGAATAAATATACAATCGTTACGGTAATTAAGAATTCATAGGTACTAGCTGACTCCCGAAATTCCTATGGTGAAACGCATGGTTTCACACCCTCGCTATCGCCATTGGAATTATCCACCCTTATTCTAAACGATTCCTCGTGTTCTTTTTTTAACGATTTACTTTCGTTTCTATTAAAAGCCGGACGCGCACCTGTGTACCGGAAGCGTGTAACGTACAGGTGCAGAGGGTGTAACGGGTGCGTTAGCCAAAACTTATGCTCAGACGACTCGTCACGATTATTCGGCGATTCATTCGCGACAGGCTAGGTACACCGGGGGTGTCAATTGAACCGGATGAAACAGTTTACTATCTTTTAAAGCTGGCAAGCGATTCAATTTATTTTCTGCGGCCCCTGCACCTAACTACTCTGCCGTTACCAGCATTCGAATCACAATTTTTTTTTTTTACTTCAACTTAGATTTATTTTATATCGAGAAACATGAGATTTCATTTTTTTTATCTTATGATTAACCCTTTCATTGCTAATGGTACCTGTAGGTGGTCGAGAAATTAATTTTTCTATTCACGAAGCATTTTAATTTTTTGATGTCATCAATAATTGTTTAAATTTTCTAACAAGGAGACCTCACAGCTGTTGGGTCATCAATTTTAATATAGCTTTTTCTGGTGAATTTTGATGAAAAATAAGTTCACTCATATTCGGCAGTTTTTGTCAATATTTAAGGTCATAGATATAGATATTTAAAGAAAAGGATATAAGAATGTATAAACATATCCATAGAAAAAAAAATCTAGAGAAAAAATGAACTCACCCTCGACGGGATTTGAACTCGCGATAGCGTAGTTCAACGAAAGTGTTGAAGGTTGGTTTACTAATTGAATATTTCAGGAAATTAGAGAATTAAAATATAAAATATCTTCTTAAATATAGAGTATTGACAAAAACCGCCGAATATGGGTCAACTTATTTTTCATCAGGATTCACCAAAATAAGCTAAATATCATAATCGATGAGCCAATAGCTGTGAGGTCTCCTTGTAAGTGCAATTATCATCTTTCGTTGTATTATTTGCCACAGAAAGGGGTGAGGTATTTGAAAGTATACTTTTGAAAAATCGTACATGAGCAACGATTATTATTCTGTTTTCCCAGCGAACAAGAGAATCTGCGACGAGTGACGAGTCCCCTGATAAAGTCTCAAAGCCGGTTGCAGTGTTTTCGCGGCTATCGCCTCGCGGCATGGATGTATCAATTTTACGATGAATTCCTTTTTTTTTCCTTTCTCTGTTCTTTCCATTGCCAGAGGAGCGTCTCGTTGTTCGTTCCTTGCCGGCTGATGCTCGTTTAACTTTGCACCCGATTAATCAAACAGACCTAGACTACCGCGCCGTATGAAACGCGTACCCTTACGACACGTTACAAACTCTTCATATCAGAACGTTCGTGTAACAATTCACTTTTGAAAATTTATATTCAGCTGTCTGTTTACATCGTTCGTATTCCTGCTTTTTGATTACGGATTGTTTTCTTGACCCTCGATTAATAATTTTAACACTTCGGTGATTTCATCGTTGGATTATTTGAAGTAGCTTCAGAGGATTACGTATGATTCTATTATAAAAATTAATTACTGAATTACTGAGGATTGGTTTGCAGCTGCGAATAGTTAAACGGTATCTTCATTTTATTGCTTAACGCTAAAAGCTGCCATTCTCAAGACGGAAATCAGTCGGTAAAGAGCCGTTTTATCTGATCTAAGGTAATCGTCTAACCTGCTCGTCCTTCCGCACGTCCTTCCGCCGTGTTCAACGTCTTTGTTACGCTTCACGGAGTTCGCCAACTGTTGCACCTCGCTTCCGAAAGACTTCAACGTTGATGATTGAGCCTAACGACCAGTCTTTGTCTCTACCCTCCAACTCGATGCACGCGAGATAATTTTTTGTCGAAGCCTGCCTTCAAGGCTTTAGCAGGATCGTGATTGTTTCACCTTGGTCGTGAATTTTATTTTTCCAATTGATCAATTCGGCCTCTAATCAATCTTCGAGCTATTAACCCTTCATAGATTTATTTTCTTCTATAGCTTCTTAGGTTTTCCTAAGATAGTTTCTTCACCGAATAAAACTTAAATTGCACCCTTCATTATCCAAAAGATTCATAAGATTCATAAGAATCTTCATTAAATGAAAATTTATCCAACAACGATGCTTCGATAAAATTACAAAAAGGACTGGAATTCTATTGCGAATCGTTCAGGTAATGAAGACACGTTACATAAACCTTGATGCAACGTTCAGCCATTCAGTAATTACAGTCTCTCCTGAAAAGGCTAGGGACATTCGACTTGAAATAACAAGAGGTGTTTGACAGGTTGAAAGCATCCAAAGGTGTTTCAAGTTGAAGGCAAAAGGGTATCAGGTTTTTTCATGCGGTTTTGAACAAACCACGGTCGCACGGTGTTGAATGTATACCGGACGGTGTCCACTCGGATAGAGCATCCACCTTCGAAGTCTGAGGCTTGTCTTTGGCAAACACCTTAACGGTGCGCCTATCTTTCTCTCCTGGATCGTTTCAAAGCACCGTGCAGCTTTTCCAACGTTTGACCGAGGTGCAAACGTTCCGTTCGTCTACGAAACCGCGTCAATTATTCTCGCGTTAATTGAAAAGATACGCATCGCCTCGCGTGCTTCAGTTTCCACTCGTTAGAGCACTCGTTTTTTCGTTTTGATGATACACCAAAGCGCTTCCACGTCTTTTCCTCGAACGTTGCATAATCCGTGTAATCATCTTACAATCAGGTGGTTTTGCAGCTTTGAAATTAATTAGTCACGACTAGTTGCAATACTGTTACATTATTTGAAGCGTGCACAGAAATAATTGTAGCGTAACAGGATAATTTTACTTGGAATTAATTGCACCATTACGGTGGACAAATTAGCATTTATATTTGTATTTAGTAATTGTTAGAATGGAAGTTTCAAAAATGATATAAAATTTAGAATGGTTCATAAACCACAAGTTAATCTCCCGAATGTTTTATTGTCGCTGCGACGAGGATTCGTCGAATACACGGTCGCCATTTAATTTCGTTAATTACTTTCAAGATCACGGGACGAATTAAAAACAACCACCATCAGCTGCCACTCATTACGATCTTCAAACTGCCGTTGCTTACAACGTGCATGTGTTTTAATTAATATGACGTCATGTAGAGACGCCGAAAATTCTGTTTTCCAGGATTTCTTAATTGTTTAAACCCTTGCAATTTTTCATAATATTCTGTAATTGATTTTTAATGGTTCATGAGGTTTCAAGTTCTTCTTTTCGATTCGAAATATCTATCAATTAACGTTGTCCCATCATGATGGATCGTGAGAGAAAATCATGTGTGTCCCTTGCCTTTTGAACTAGAAATTCCCTCGAATTCACGAAATCTAATGGATGTGGGCATCGCCCCTATACGAGAATTCAATTCACACGAGTTCGAATATCAAAAAATTGAAAAATTCTTTTTGTACAACTTTGCATACAAGAAATTATGTAATGGAAACCTTGATAAAGATTTCTTGTTATGCAACACGAGTATCGTTCGTTTTTTATTGAATACTACACGTGTATCGCACGAGAATATTTCTAATTAATCAAAGAAATTTTATAAAAAATTCAATTCCATGTCACTGAAGTCACTTAAGTTACTTAATTTATCTATCTCGTACAAAACTTGCACTTTTCTAATAAAAATCACGTCGCCGTCTCACTTACCAAGCACCTCGGTCTTCATAACAGCGCATGTTTGCTTACATGTGAATTTTATTTTTTCAACCTCGAATGCGTTCGTTTAAGCTTGCAAAGAACGCAAAATCAAGATGCAACCGATTCGCACGGTCATCGAAGCGATTTCAAATTTCACACGATTATCGGTGCACCTCGAGGTGAACCCGTAGCAAGTCACGAGGCTGTTGTAGGTGAGAGGATGTGGCCGGCAGGAAGTTCATTGTGTACGGGTACACATATAATATTGCACGTACTACGATCCTGCGGATTCAACTACATAGTTTCCAGCTCGAAATTCTGCAGGTTTTATTCGAATCCTTAGAGGTATGAAACGTCGGTCGTCGACGAATTATGGTCAGAGCTTGTTCGCGTCCACGCAGAACGAAATCGTATGTAGGTTAACGCGTGGGCGGGGATCCATTACACGAGACGTTTATGTAATTATTTTTCAATTAAAGGGAAAAATTCAACGTAGACGAAATCGCGGAATTCCAAGGATCTGTCGAGTCGTCTGCGACGTTTAAGTGGGCATAGGAGAGAATTGCTATTTTTCGTCAAGCGTACCATTAATTCCATAATTTCATTTTTCTCTGGGAAATTTCAAATTTCCTTAATAAAGGCGCAAATCATCAATGGCCCCAAATTTCGCGCCTAAACGATCCACGTCGAAACGGACCAGCAATAAAGTTTCGAGAGCTGATCATGGTGATTATGTAAACGATGGGGTCATCCTAAGCATCACCTCGAGATACGATAACACGACTTTACTATTCGTGTTTACCAAATAACTCGGGCGCCAATGATCGTAAACAATCCACAGATTTTTATAAACTCTTCCGATACTTTTTTATTCTTCATCGGGAACCTTACTTTTTATCTCCGAACCGATTCCCTTGTTGCCCTCCGAACTTCAGAAGACGTAAAGAAAAAAAAACGGGGCTCGAAGGGAAGATAAGAGACGGAGAAATTGATTTCTGAACCGTGATTTCTTTTATCTGGAATCGTATAATTAAAACGTAACGCTTCAAGGAAAATTTTCTTTTATCCACTGATAAACGCGTGGCACTACATAAAAATTAAAATAAATGGATTATTTTTCTTATTTAGTGAGCTATTTTGGGTGGAACGAGGAAGTCTATGGATAAGATGGTTCCCGTAGTCTCGTGTGAACAGACTAGCGGTAAGATGCTCGTAATCTGTGTCTTCGGCAATTGGCGTGAACGAAAATTGCCAGCAATTATCAATTTAACTCTTCACGAAAGGATCGGTTTAATCATTTCACCAGACCGCCTTTTGTTCCGTTCATCTCTCCTGATGCATCCTTTCAATCTTCTCATTCAATCTTTGTACCGGTCGGTGAGTACAGAGAAAAAGGATACAGACGAAAAAATAAAGAGTGCAAGTACTAGATCCTCTGAAAAGATTTGATACACGAAGGTATTCGAATTTTTTAAAGCCTCGAAATTACCAAATTTTCTAATTAAATCGACAGTGATAAATTTCTTTCATATTTTCTACACGATACTTAACAAACGTACTTATTACAGTAGACTCTCGTTATATTGCCGCCGATGAAATTCCAGGAGCGGAAAATTTGTTAAGTTTCCAAGCTCTCATTTGAAGGAAAAAAGGGAGATAGAAATTTTGGAAGGATGGCATATACTTAAAAATTTATGTGAGTGTCAAATTGCTCACATGGCAATATAACGAGAGTTTACTATATTCCATTTTATCAAATACCGTTCGAATACTTTCCTACGTCATTTGTCTATCAAAATGACATAGTTCGATCGATTTTTTAAATGAAAAACATGAAAAATATCCTTCTGTATCCGTTACAACTCGTCTTTCATCCTCGAGACCGTGCTTATGGACTGCGATGATGCTCCGTCGTGTAGTTAAGTTAATTAATGAATGGTATAGTCGGGATGGAGAGTGGACTTAAATTGATACGTCCTTCGTGCGGAGCCATTTTTGTGCCACGCTCGCTTCGCTTCGACAACGCTTCTCGCTACTTTCAATAAATCGGTGATCGTTTTTTTTTGCACACTCGTGAAAAATTATATCAATTTTCGAATAAAAAATTGTATACGCCTCGCTGTTCGATGACAAATGATGTACGATACGCAGACACAAATTGAAATAACAAAATCAGTGCTAATCAACACCTCTCATTTAAAAAAAAAAAGAAAAAAATGATTGCCACATTTCGTTTCCACGGACCAATCGTGAACTTCATGGTTGCATTGACCTCTTTGCAAGGAACCGCCGCGATAAAGAAATTTCTCAGCGATTGCGATTATTTATTGCTGTAAACAATCGAGTTCGTCGTTGCAACGCGTGTCATGAAAATACAGGATGGAGAAAACATTGACTATTTCACGGGCGATTTAGTGTTCGGTCCACTTTTATCATAATCACTTTTATCTGTCGCTACTTTCATAATAATATTACAAGCAATCGCGTGAAACGATAATCGGTACCGTGGTTCTTCGTGATTTACCGTAATCTAGTCGCAATTTTGCCCAGATGGAAAAATATCGAATTTATATAAATAATCTGTCACCTTTGTATCGAATTTGGCAAAAGTTATCGGACGAGTTCCTTTTTTAGAACAATGTAAAGGTTGTGAATATTCGTGATACGCTGTGATTGGAAATGATGGGACTAAAAATGAATTTTAATAAAATTGCTAACCTGGTTCAAATCGAGGTCCGGACATTTCGAGGCGCATTCTTCTTGGAGATTAGCAGGAGTTGCCCGATCCTCGAGATCTTCTGGCAGAAACGCCGAGACGCTTCCCGCCAACGCCAACACCTTCAGAAACACGCATAATCCCTTTGCTAACATAATATCCACAACCCCCCCGGAGACGAGCCCTCGATCACCCTCCGCAGAATTTTCGTAAATGGTATCTTCAACTGTCCATCGTCATTGTTCTCTCGATCCTGACAACATCCGCGATCCTACCAATAAATTCGTCAATTTTAGACTTTCATTTTCCACATTCTTCCACATCGATTGTCGTACTCGAAGAACTCGAACAATCCTTTAATTAATTACTGTTCCCTTCGAATAAGGAAGTACGATACTTGGATCACTGTCACTCGGGGAATCACTCACTGAACGAGTAGATTATTTTATTTCTGTCAAATATCACTGATGACACTTCTCGAATGATATGGAAAATTATTTTCCAAAATTTTTCTTCTATTATTCATCCAGTCATTTGGAAAACACGATCGTCACAATCCACAAACGCAACTGTCAGTAAATGTTCGCATCACTTTTCTCTTCCTCGATTATAGTCAATCAAGAAACGATTGCTGAAGGGTTGTTAGCCAGGTGCGCACAGGTAGAATTGCCATGAAAAAAATATCGAATTATTTCGAATCACCTGTGACGTTCGAGTCACGAGGCTCGCACTGCAACAGCCCGGCGTGGTTGTTGTTAATGTCTGGCAAGCATAAGAGCAACTGACTCCGAATAGCCACTAGAGAGTCAACTATCCCCCACCATTGCCACCCTTATCTGTTGCACTCTGCTTGACCAATTCCCTCCGGTGCTGGTGGCTATACAAACCAGCCTGAGTGTGTAATTTAGTATGCCTGTGGATGTCTGAAGACGAACAGAAGGGAGGGACGTTTTGAACCTTCGTGCAGGTCCGACCGACCATTGGTCAATTGGCAGATTGACCTGTTCTTACTATCCTCGTAAACTTTCATTCATACATTCGCACGTGCCGTTTCAGCTGGGTGTCCACGTTGCCGGTTTCTTTGAGATCGGCTAATATGAACGGTATGAAAGGAAATGTCATTTGGAGATGGGGATCTTTTGTTGGAGGATTGAATTTGATTTTTAGAATGATCACCTCGAGAATTATTGTACGTAGGAATTAAAAATGAATTTTTTGGAGCAAAATATTGGCATTGGCAATATGAATGATATAGGAAAATAGGCATTTATTGTTGATGGGTCATTTGGAGGTGAGGATCTTTTGTTGGAGGATTGAATTTGATTTTTAGAATGATCACCTCGAGAATTATTGTACGTAGGAATTAAAAATGAATTTTTTGGAGCAAAATATTGGCAATATGAATGATAAATGGAAATAGGCATTTATTGTTGAAGGGTTGAAATTGATTTTATTTTTACCTTACTTAAACAAAGTAAATTTCTTTCTTTATTTTGCGCATACAACTGAGCATTATGTACGACAATACCGAGCTGAATTGAAATTATACATTGGCTGAAGATCACTTCGTTAAGTCAACCACCCTCTTCTCTCGCATTAGGTCGGATGGAACAAAGCAAATTCGAAGCGGAGCTTCAAACAAATACAACCCATATTGACGTTTCTGACCGGAAAAAGAATGCGTTCTTTCGAAAAATTTCTGTACACACGCTTCGTTCTGACACCCTTAACTTCTATTTACAGTGCGCCCTAAAAAACGCAGCGATGTTAACTGAAAACTCGTTTCAATTTTCTCCAGCGACGAATAAACGTGTAATTGTTTGTTTAATGCTATTCCTTGGGTAACCGTGTTCAAGTGAAAACGATGATTCATTTCGACAGATTAAATCTGCGTACGACAAGAGTTGGACTTGTATTATCCGTGTTACCATTGTCAGTCGTTGAGGCTCTTTCTTTTCGATGACCCGAGAGAAATCCATTCTTCGACGCCAACGCATATCTATTCGATCGAATGGCTCGCGTTAACATCTTATTTTATTTACTGCATCCATTTTAGCAGTTTCAGTACCACTGTTGCGTACACGATTCTTCTTCCACGTTCCTTAGTTTCAGCAATTCCAGAAGTTGCTGGAATTCTTCGTTTGGGTACGTCACCTATCTAACAGAAAGAAATAGGATAAGTGACAATGTATCATGTTTCAAAAGAATATTTCAAATAGCAGTATCTTTAAATCTCATTACTGTAATACCAAATGTTAAAAATTTTCATTTTATTACAATGCAAATAGAGGGAGACCATCACTCATGAATGTTTATTTGGAAAAATTTTATTTAAATTTTCGATGCTCCTCTCTAAGGACTTCTAGTCTTTCAGTTAAACTAAAGAATCCTAAAATAAGCGAAAGCTTCGAGACTTGAAGGAGATTCTTCCTGAAAAGCGAAGAGCAATCGATTAACACGAAAAGATGATGATCAGACGAATTCAGACCAGCTCGTTATGAAACGACAGCGATCTGTGGCACGTTAGTACCAACCTCAATGGCGGTTACAGGTTACCTAGGGCTTCCTGCGGAAATGGCCAATATACTCCTCCGACCTCCGACTCACTCAGTCACTCGCTCACTCGGATCACTCCTGTTTGGTGTACCCTGTACCCATATGATCGCCCTGTCGCTCGACACGTACTCGTTACGGGTCATCATCGTGATCTATGCGCCTACAACAAACGTTACATCCTTAATCTGGCCTAACCTGCTAATCCTACGCTCGTGCTGAGCGAGAAAGTTGACATTATTCCTCGGCCGGACCGTGTTGCTCCGTGATCACTTCAGAGTGCCTTCGGTTTGATTTGATGCTAATGTGTGACTAGATTTGATTAGAGACCTTTCATTTTGAAATTATTTCTGAACATATTAGTAAAGATACGAGAATGGAATAAAATTCTATAATAATTTATAATAAATATAATTTGCAATCTTTGGAAAGAAAACTGAAAAATTAAATTTAACGAAGTTATTAATCTTTCAAGACACTACCACCCTCTACAACTGTCTGGACATTCTTATGATAGAGCACACACATGATTCTCTAATAAAGCAATAAATTAGAAGGGACGATAATTGCTTTAATCTACCGAAAGTAACACATTTATCATCAGCCCGATTGTAAGAGTAATGTTTTCAAATGTGCATCAGGTACGACCCAATTCACACGTACTCGAGGTATGCCGTTTGTTTTGCATGCAACACGATTGTCGCACAAAGGGAGGAGCATTTCGTGTAAGACGCCCAGACGGATAGTACAGAGCTTACCCTGCTTTACACGATACACCAACAATTCGGCTCTATTAGGCCAATAAAGTGTATCAAAGAAGAGGAATGCGCCCCGCGTCAATCGTAAATGTAACGTCGGTTAGTCTGTCCGTGGATCGTGCTCAACTTATGCGGGGTGCGGGTGGATAACTCATTTATATTGAATAGAACTGTGCTTACGTTAGAGAAGAAGGAAAATTTTCAATTTTAAAATTCGAATAGCGATAATTATTTACAAATAAATTAATTGGGAATGTTCATCAGAAAGAAAGGTGTAGTTAGAAAATTTAAATACAATTTATTTCTTTATATAAAAATATCTTAGTGACCCCTATTATTATTGCCAATTAATGCATCGCTTATATATTGGTGGAAAGAATCTTCAAGATTGAAATAATAATTCGTAATTAATAAAACGTGCAAGTGTCCGCGGAACAAAGTTCAGCTTAACCAATCTCGTATGGTTTTCAATGCTTTACGATGATAAATTGTTATCTTTATCGGAAATTAATTGCGATCCAATAGCTCTTGTAACACTTGAACAAAAGTAACACCTATACTCCTGTTACTCATTAGCCTTGTTTACCGCTTTTCTTTTCAATTACAATCTCCACATATTTGTTTTGACATATGAATTGATGGTAGTAATGAGAAATGCGTCATAGTTCGATGACACCGTTTTTTTTTCATTAATACAAAGTCACCAAAGCTTTGGCATTTAATTATGTGTCATGATTTTATAGATCGTGTAGATAGGGTGTTCGACAACAGGTGGGACAAATTTTAGGAAATGATTCTGGGGGTAAAATAAGACATAAATCAAAAATGACGAAATAGCGTTCGCGGCTTTGGGTTTTAATTATTAATATTAAAATATTCGAATGAAAAGTGTCTAAGATCGGTGATCTTCAGAGCACCGACGATTGGACATCTTGTCAGTAGGGGTATGTACAGCCATTGAATATTAAAAACTAAAACCGAAAGATTATTAAAATAATTTTGTTTGACTAATTTGTATTTTAAAAATACCGCCAGCTTATCGACCGCTGTAAGATCGATCGATAAATCGTTTTAATAGTTTTCGCTGCTCTCCGACAGAGAGCGCTGGTATCTTCTGTTCCAGAAAATCGATCGATAACTTGTCGAGTAATTTGAACCGTTTTTGTATAGATGGAATTGGCATTGAATTTAAAAAATTTTAAATTTATGGCGATCTTTTTAAAATCCAAGTTTGTCAAACCATTATTTTAATAATTTTTCGATCTTCTGCTGATTTTGACTGATTTCTAAAAAAATAGAATCAAAGGGAGTCAACATTGTGTCTTTTCAAATTATTTCCAATTATTCCTGGGAAGTTTGACACAAAATATTTCAAATAGGAATGAAAACAGTTTTGGGACATATAAACCCTCGCGTTTCTTTTTATTTTTTAGCGAAATGATTAATATAAAATAAAACAATTTCCAAATAAAAATTCATAATCACTCCAACTACCACCATCGATGATTAATTAATTAACGTGTGATCTATGAAATTTTACCAAATAATGTATTTAAAAAAATGAAGAGCCTTTATTTTAATTAGGGAATGGAAAAAGGGGGAACAATTCATATTTACAGATATTAGTTGTAAGTTGAATAAGTCGAATAGTTGAGTATATGGATGTATGTATACGTATATTATATGTTGCACTTGTAAAAATATAAAGTACGTTTTTTCAAAACGTATTTATTCCATCGACGACGAGAATGATAAATAGAACGAGAAAGCAAAATATAAAATACCCTTTTATATTTCTTTGAAACTCCATCGTGAAACGTTTAATGAACGTTTCTTTTATTCCAAATAAAAGAATCTTACCGTTGCGGATAAAACTAAAAAGTAATTTCCGTTCGACGCAACGAGTACATTTTGAAAGAACGCCACGAATAAGTTGCTTTCATTGAAAGCGATTAATTTTCAAGAACTTCGTTTCGATCGCGAGTTGATTTTCAAACGTTTATTTCCCCTTCGTTCTTCTTAAATCATTTTTGTCGCGAAACGAAACGACGCGTTTCACAATAATTTCGTAGGAAAAATTTGATGATATAGGAAAAAAATTCCCGAGGGTTGTGTTCGAATTTTGCAATAAGGATTTCTTTAGCGGATCTTCAAGCGGAAAAAGATTCCTTTATTCGCAGCTTTTTGTTATCGAGAAGGCACGTAGTGAAAAATCGTAGATGTAGGACAATATAAAAACGTTCTCGCTTAGTCCGATAAGGGTGAAAAATCGCGTTAATTATCGCGTACGTTCCGTCCCTCTTAGCGCGTGACTCGGTACACCTGGGGGCATAGCTGCTGGTTCCCCGCCTCTCGCTTCGGGGTCGTTAAGGGCTGCTTCGGACGCCTTGAATCTCTTGTATTTTCCTAAAAGAAAATAGAAACAAATATTACTACACCTCTCCGTCGAATATCTAAAAAAAAGTATTTATTTTTCCCTC